TTAGAGAAAAACATTAGGTATACAGAATAAAAAGTTACTGCTAAAAAGATTCTTACTCATAACATTTTTTAAATGTTATAAAATATGATGTACGGTTTTTGTTTCCGGAGTCACAGTTCTATTTTTTAAGAAGATTAGCCTTGGTAAATTTGTTTTAATATTCTTCCCTTCCTAATCTTTGCTTATGCTAGTCTAGCAATTTATGAAATAGAATGCTTTTATAAAAACTAAAATAACTACTCTGCCACCCAGGGAAAGGTATGAATCAGATAGTGTCTAGAGAAGATAAGAGCTCTGCTTTTAATCTAGTCCTCTGGTGACAGTCTGAAAGGTGATGCATAAAGAAGTTCCTACGAGAAAGATGTTACAGTAAAGTGGACAGTCAGCTACTGGCAAATTTGTCACCTAGTCTGAAGTAAGGGGATTTCTTAGAAATCACCACAGCTGCCAAACCATGTTTCAAGAAACCTAGAATTCCCCTGGAGACCCTTCAGTGGGTAGAGACGAAGGTGGATGGGCCCTCATGGACCCACGCGGAGCTGCTGAACACTTGAAATTGGGCTACACTGAAGTAAGATGTGCTATAAGCCTAAAACCAGACCAGATTTCAAAGATTTAGCATGAAAAAAATAATGTAAAATAATTCATTAGTAATTTAAAAATACTGAATACATATTGAGGTGATATTATTTTGAATACATCAGGTTGATGAAAATATTAAAATTAATTTCACCCATTTCTTTGTAGTTTTTTTTGTCCTTTTTGAGACCAGCCGCACCGCGCTCAGCCAGTGAGCACACCGGTCATCCCTATATAGGATCTGAACCCGCGGCGGGAACGCTACTGCGCTCCCAGCGCCGCACTCTCCCGAGTGCGCCACGGGCTCAGCCCCTTTGTAGTTTTTTGATGTGGCTACTACAAAATTATAAAATATGTGTGTAGTCTATATAATATTGCTATTTAACAGTGATGCTCTGGATCCTACACAAACACTGTGGATTCAAAGCTAAAAGGGCTATGACAAAGTGACATAATACTAATGTGTGAAAAAGAACAGCTATCCTTTGGAAAGATTAGTTTTGAATCAGGTGACTTTCTTTAATATTGCATACTTCAGAAAAAATTAAATTGCTCTTAACACATTCAGGCCATAAAAAACAAAAACAAATTAAATTACTATTAAGGTTCTTTCTTTTAAAAGATTGTATGAATAAAACAACAAAAGCAAAAACAGACAAATGGGATTAAATATATCAAACTGAAAAGCTCCTGCACAGCAAAGGAACCAATCAACAGAATGAAGAGACAACCTGCAGAATGGAAGAAAATATCTGCAAACTGTTCATCCAACACAGAATTAATATCGAAAATATAAAAGGAGCTCAAACTCAACAGCAGAAAAACAACCTGATCAAAAAATGGGCAAGTGAGCTAAATAAACATCTCTCAAGAGAAGATATGCAAATGGCCAAGAGGTATATGAAAAAATGCTCAACATCTCTAATCATCAGGGAAATGCAAATTAAAACCAAAATGAGATATCATCTCATCCAGTAAGAATGGCTATTATCAAAAAGACTGAAAATAACAAATGCTGGTGAGGATGCAGAGAAAGGGAACTTCTATATGCTGTTGGTTGGAATGTGAATTAGCAAAGCCATTATGGAAAAAAGTACGGAAGTTTCTCAAACAACTACAGACAGAACTGCATAAGATCCAGCAATCCCACTACTGGGTATATACCCAAAGGAAAGGAAATCAACATGTTGAAGGGATACCTGCACTCCCATGTTTATCATGGCTCTATTCACAGTAACCGAGATTTGGAACCAACCTAAATATCCATCGACAGATGACTGGATAAAGAAAACGTGGCATATATACACAATGGAATACTACTCAGCTATAAAAAAACAATGTTGGCTTTTGCAGCAACACGGATGAGCTTGGAGAAAATTATATTAAGTGAAATAAACCAGGCACAGAAA